GGCGAGACTGGCGCCGGCGGCGGTGGAGCAAGACGGCGGACGGAGGCGCCGGCCGATTAGATCGCCGTGGTGGAGGAGGAAGGCAGAGAGAAGAATGTGGTTGCCCCACGCATTGGGTTGGGCCCTCATTTTTTTTACCAACAGTTGAGCCCTCATTTTTGCCTTCCGGCCTGGGGCCGAAGCCCATAATACGGCCCATAACGTTCTTCTCCTGCTCGGTCCCGTCAGAAAAAATTGTAGCTCCACTTGCCCAAACAACACTTTTTTTTTACCCTCTTAGCTGGCGAGCGTTCACTGAGAAGGATGAAAATCGCAAACGTTTTTCTATGGGAAGTTAGTTGTCGGACTAGAATGACAACTTCACGGTAGAGTAGTCATTTCAAAACAAAACTGTCATCATTTGATCTCAATTAAATGTCATGGGTGCGTTTGCTATGAGTTACTTTCAAGCAAACATTCGCCAGTTATCATTACCTTTTCTTTTGAGGATATCATTACCCTTTTTTTAGCTGCCATGCCCTTGCGAAGCTGTGATCATCAAAGAAATAACAAACACAAAGAAAATATGACTATTTGAAACAATTTTTTTTGACAAACATAGTACAACCACAATCTCTCACAAAACATGTAGATATACTCACCCTATAAACGCATGCATGCACACCCTATCCACCTCACTATCGTCTCCCATTAAAATAATATTTCTTCTTTATGAGACACCAGAGCGTCAAACCTAGGTGTGATCCCTGAACAGGGGCTGAGCTAGTCATTGGGTTCAGCTGAAACCAATGGCTTTTGACTGCCACGATCTATACGTACAGGTATTTAGTGGCCTGAAGCCATTAAAATATCTAAGCTGACCCCATCAAAAGGCCCAGAAGCCCACAAGCTAATTGTCTTCGTGCCCATTAATCTTCTTAACGTGATTAGCCCATTCTAACATATTAAAGCTGAATCGCAAGATTTACTCGATTCCATCCATAATGGATGGAATGCAATGTACGCACATAACGCACCACGCCGCACGCCTCCAGAATTGAAGCGATCGGTTACTCCCTGTCAGCAGACTCTCGTCTCTTCCGTTCCGCCGCTCCCTTCACCCATCTGTGGATCACAGCCGCTCGGCAAGCCGGCTAGGGCAAGCAACTACAGTCCAAATTCAAGGTATGTGGCCACATCACTACGAGGCTGTCAGCTCGCCACACCTAAGGTGAGGCGTGCCATGACTTCTTAGGCAGGTGTTTGGTTCTCCACCCAGGTTAGGCTCGCCACAGCGCCACAGGCCTTTGCCGCAAAAAAATTCGCCAAATCTGTGGCGCACTCGCCGCGGCGCGCCAAAGAAGCCGCGAAAATCCCCGCGGGCCTGATTAATAAACAAGTCGCCGCTTCCCTATTTCCTCCCCAAAACTCTGCTCCTCATAGTCTTGACCGCCATGGATGAGAGCCCTTCTCTCTCCTAACCGATCCAACTGAGGAGGAGCTCGCCGCTGCAATCGACCTTCTCTTCCCTGGTAAAAATCATCACCACTGCAATAGTAATCTCCTACATCTCCTCTATCTCATCACCTACTATTCATCTCATACATGCAGATCTGGGCGTTCTTGTTTTTTCAAGAGAAAAATAGCAGCCTTCTTCCGTGATCTGCGGGATTTCCTAGTCTAGCAGCTGCTTGGTTCTGCCCCTCTTGCATCTACGATCTTCCTCCTTATAGAAAAAGGTCAATCTTGCTAAGAGCAAAGGTAACACCGTGATCCCCTTTTCGAATTGTTGCATTTTTTTAGAAAATCAATTGTTGCATATTTGTACGAGTGAGAGCATATGTAAGTAATTTCTTGTAAAATATGTGATGTTAATGTAAGATTGGGCATCTCTCTGTGTTCTTTCTTAGAGATGTGTTAGACTGTTTATTTCCTCCATAATCTATTTAGTCATTTGTATTTATGTTGAATAAAAATTTACACTGTTCCACTCACTGATGCCATCATAGATTTCTTTTAATGATTTTATTGTTTCATAGATGGACCGAAGGACATTATGCTTACAGTATTACACGCATTTTTATAACTACTACATGTGGAGGAGAAGATTGCTTGCAGCCATTCTTGTGTGTTTAGCCATGTATTGGTACAGGATTAATGTCCGAAAAAGGAAGAGAAAATCTATAACTTATGCTCCCATGTTCGAACGAGATGTCGAAAGGATGTCACGCCTAAACCGTATGTATTATGGAACCGAAGCTCACTGCATAAGTGAGTTGCGCATGCGGAAATATGTTTTTCACAAGCTGTGTGCCAACCTGAGACGTCGTGGTCTGCTGGTAGACACATTCCATGTAACAGTGGAGGAGCAAGTTGTCATGTTCATCCATGTTGTGGGGCATAACTGGAAAAATAGATCAATTGGTTTTGAGTTTTATCGATCAGGCGAGACAGTTAGTAGGTACTTCAATGTTGTTTTAGATGCGTTGTGTATCCTTGCCCGTGATGTCATATGCATCAGAACTATCGAAACACATTCGAAGATAACAAGTAGCTCCAGATTTCACCCTTACTTTGAGGTGCACCCAAATTTATTCACTAGTATCTGCAATGTATTTATAGGTTCCATTAAGTCTGTTTAAAACTAGTTCTCTCTTTTCGTAGGGATGCATAGGAGCTCTGGATGGTACTCATATACCGGCATGTGTGCCTATCCACATGCAGGATAGGTTTGGGGGTAGAAAGTCCTTCCCCACACAGAATGTGCTAGCAGTCGTTGATTTTGACCTAAGGTTTATATGTGTTCTTCCTAGATGGGAGGGATCAGCCCATGATTCTTATGTGCTCCAAGATGCCCTATCACGTCCCAATGGCCTTAAAATACCAAAAGGTGGGGTTCTAACCCATGGCTCCAAATTGAAACTTTCCTTAGTTCTTAGCTAACGTGTTAGCATCATCATGATGTAGGTAAATTTTTTCTAGTGGATGTGGGATATGCTGCAAGACCTGGTATACTACCCCCATATCGTGGTGTTTGATATCACCTAAAGGAATATAGTGGAGCTAGAGACGCTGAGAACCCAAGGGAGTTATTCAACCATCGTCATTCCTCACTTAGAACAACTGTTGAAAGAGCATTTGGTACCTTGAAGAATCGATTTAAAATATTTGCAAGTCAGCCATTCTTCCCTCTGAAAACACAAGTAAAAATTGTGTTTGCTTGTTGTGCGCTTCATAATTGGATTTTAGAGGATGGTCCTGATGAGTATGTCTTGATAGAACTGTTGGATTGACTAGGCTAGAGTTTCGGAATAGATCGGACTATCTGTGATCTGTACATGAGGGAGTACCTTCTCCTTGGCTCGACGAGCTCGAACCAGCAGCCATGGTGTTGTGGCAGCGGTGATTGCAGTGAGATGGCGAGGTGGTTGGTGGCGCTGTGGAGCTTCCCATCGCTCTCCGGCTTTCCTCGATCGGTCAGGTTATAGAGGTGGGCGGCTATTCTGTTTTGGCG